ATTTAAATTTCGGCATTAAATAAACCCTGGAGATGGATATACAGGAAAACGAAAAACAAAAACATAAAATAAAACAACCATAATTTAGAGTCTTTCATTGCATTGTATCCTATATAATATTTTGGTATTATCTAGTAAAATTTGTTTTATGTTAATATTATATTAGATGTGTGAGAAGTGTGTACAAAAAGAAAAATTAATATGCACATACAATTTCCAGTTTCACTGTTTAAATATCGTCACTTTGAGTGACATGATATTAGTTTTAACATACATAAGAACTCTGGAATTATCTAAATGCAGTTGCGTAAACATGCGCAAAACACAATCCTTGAAAAAGAATGTAACAACAAACGAAAACACTCGGGAAAAATAAAATAAAATAATATATTTATATGTTTCATTTTGATTGAATATTGCTTTGTAGTGATGTTTGGTTAGAATTATTAACATCTTGTATGGATATACAGGTGTTCGCTTGATATTATTAACATCTTATATCTATGCTCTTTATTTAATGGTTGCATATTAATTTGTCAAAGTCGTTCTGTATTTTTGATCTTTTTTTCAAACGGTCTGTCAGTTTCTTAAAGCGGTCTTTTATTTATCAACTGCAGGATTTTATGTGGGGAGCTGAACGAGCATATAACTAGTATTATGTTAAATTACCTCCCCATCACTTTTGTTTTTACTTCTTGGGAAGTTTGAGCGTCTGATTTCGATACACCTTACGAAATAATTTAACAATCTGTATCTGCCCATAAGGAAATTGTTTAGGTTTTATATGCAGACAACTTCGCATCATGACTATATTAATTTTTTTTTCGGTGAATTTGAATTTAGCGTAGGTTACATACGATTTGTTGATCACAGCAGGGCCTGCAAGTGTATTTTTTTTAAAAAGTATTCTGCTTTTTGAAATTAAATTAATCTTTATCTCGTCAGTAGTTTAACATCGTCCGAAGAGACACATTTATGGTGTTGAGACATAATTGTAATTGTGTAGCGATTTTTAACGTGTTTTAATATCTTAAAATAAATAATATTTAGCTCTACTATGGATTAAATTAAATGTTACGTACAGTGGAATCAAACTCCATTTGTTTTCATTTTACCCGGATATATATATATATATATATATATATATATATATATATATATATATATATATATATATATATATATATATATATATATAATAATAATAATAAATGCGAATGCCACTATGTCACTGTGTCCTACTTTTCAACTTTTACTCCTAGAGGCTGTAGCCCAAAATATCTTATCATTTTGGAATCAGGCTGACTTCAACGTTCCGGGCCGGATCTGGACCTGCAGCCAGAAATTTAGGATGCCCGAATTTTCATTACTGCCATTGTTTTCGGCGATTTTAAAAAGTGATTTTAGAGACGAATTTTTATAACTTGGAAATAAATTTTGGAATAATAAAAATTAATTTTGAAATCCTGAGAAAGTCACACATGGAATAAAAATAGTTTTTGTACGGAAAGTAAGGACCTACGTACATCAAATTGTTTTTAATTTAAGTAGCGCCAGAAGAGTTACATCGAAAATTATTTTATTAACACGAGAACTCAATGTGGGATATTATATATATATATATATATATATATATATATATATATATATATATATATATATATATATAATGATAATAAAGATGTGTGTGTGTGTGTGTGTGTATTGCCCATTGAGAAAGAATATATCAGAGCATTGAGTTACATCGAGAATTATTTTATTAACACCAGAACTCAATGTGGGGTATTGCATATATATATATATATATATATATATATATATATATATATATATATATATAATAAAGATGGGTGTGTGTCACGGATGGAGAAGAAACCTGAGACATCAGAAATATAGTCCTACAGGAGGATGCTGAGCATACTATGAGTCGAAAATGTGAGCAACACGATTTTAGAGAAAATGGAAACAAAAGATGCATTTCTTTCTTTCTTTCTTTCTTTCTTTCTTTCTTTCTTTCTTTCTTTTATTGTATCTATCTCAGTTTTTTCTATCTATCTATCTATCTATCTATCTATCTATCTATCTATCTATCTATTGAGAAAGAATATATCAGAGTATTGAGTTACATCGAGAATTATTTTATTAACACCAGAACTCAATGTGGGTATTGCATACATATATATATATATATATATATATATATATATATATATATATATATAATAAAGATGTCTGTGTGTATTGCCCATTGAAAAAAAGAAAAAAAGAATATATCAAAGCTTTGATATACTACGTGAAAATGTTTCTCCTAATATGATCAACGTTTCCTTGCGAAAATAAAGTAAAAAGAAACCGTCATTATTTTCTCCTGATATCGTCTCTCATTAAATTCTTCAATTGCAATTCAACTCAAGGCTAGGGACTCCATACTTATTATTTTATCTCTTATTTATTGCTTTTCTTTCATCTTTTTTTACGTTTGCCTCCAAAACACATTCGAATTAAGATTTCTAATTTTCGATAAATTATTTTTCTTTTTTTCTTTTTAATTTTCATATTTTCTTTTACACCAAAGCGAAAATAAATTCCAATTTCTTTTCTCCGTTTATAACTCTTCCACTATCTATCTCCTCAATATTTCATCTCCCACCAAAGCATTTTTGGTGGGGAAGTCACATCATTTTATCACCCGCCATTTTAACAGCTACCATTTCTTGTTATTTTCGGCAAATGCTGTATTATCTGCTACCATTTTTTGTGTGTATGTCGGGAGGAAATGTTATTTAGATTTTTTCGCTTGGGGTTTGTCAATTTCGAAGATTTGTTTTGAATATTTTAACATTCTTCGTCCTGATTTTTTTTTTTTTTGTGTGGTGGCGGGCAAGAATTATACCTGTTTTTATTGTCTGTCTTCTGATACATCTGTCCTTTTAAGGTTATTCTGTTTCTATCCTTGCTTAAGATATGTCATACGGAACAAAGTTTTGATGCTCTTTTCTGGTAGGACATTTTTTTCTTGGTTGAAGACATTTATCTGAGAAGTGTTAGGTTGGTGCAAAAATAATGACGTAATAATGTCGTTTTTGGACGTATTTTTAACGTCAAAAAACGACATCATTACGTCATTATTTTTGCACCAACCTCATAAAATTTTTGTTTACATGACTCGCGACAAATTAATCAATACTGGAAAGGGCTCGAAAGAATATATAGCGCATATTTATACAAAAGACAGAATGGCGTGCTATAATAACCCGTTTCTTTGGTGTTGTAAATTGACGTCCTCACTCAAGATAGTAGTTTATTTACCGCAACTTTCACCTCACATTTCTAATAGAACTAGATGTCCTACCAGGATTTATTATTAGTGGCCACAATCTTAAAACTAAGATATGCAGATGACACATTGTTAATAGCAGACACAGAAAGGAAACTGCAAGAAATCCTACAGAAGTTAGCGAAGGAAAAGCGAGAATAAAGGACTTCATTAGAATTATCGAATGTATGGTTGTTAGCCAAAGGGTCATCGTTCAAATTACAAATTGGAGATACAAGTAGAACAATTGAAATATCTGGGTAGTGTTTTAACTGAAAGTGCGACAAAGAAGGCTTATTGGGATAGCGAAAGATGTTTTCTTAAAGGTAAGCTGTGCAGTAAATTCGTTAGAGAAAATAAAATCCTGAACTGTAATATCAGTCCTCCTATATCGCATTGAATGCAGCACAATTTCATCACGGTTGGAGAAGAAACCTGAGACATCAGAAATATAGTCTCTACAGAAGGATGCTGAGAATACTATGGATCGAACATGTGAGCAACGACAAGATTTTAGAGAAAATGGAAGCAAAAGAGGCACTTAAACTTAACATCAGGAAGAGACAGTTGAAATTTCTAAGGCAGATGATGAGGAAAGAGGGCTTAGAAAATATGATATTCACGGGATAGATTGAAAGCAAGAGGGACAGAAGAAATTCAACGCAAAACGTATCTAAAGAACTTGAATAAATGAATAAGAGTACAAGGTTTAGGAAAGAATAAAAATATGTATTATGAGTTATAAAAAAGCAGGAAATTGGGGAGAACTATGAAAGACAACGCCCTGAGTGAACACGGTACATAGGAATAGAAGAGATTTTAACACCATAAATAACAATGAGGTGAATATTCGGAAAAAGATCTATCTATCTATCTATCTATCTATCTATCTATCTATCTATCTATCTATCTCAATCTCTTCGTGGCTGGCTGTCTATTTCTCTCTATCTCTTTTCTCTCTCTTTATCTATATGCTAGCAGTAGAGCCCAGCGTTGCCCGGGGATGTAACAGTAAGAGATAGATCAAGTATCGACCATCATAAAGACTGAAAAATAAAATTGACAAAGATTATTGTTTAAGGTTGACGGACATGCATGTCTTAATTAGTTATTTTTGTTTTGTTTTTTGTTTTTTTTACGAATTGGTCAAACCCAAACTTAAACAAAGACATTGTTTTCAATCGTTATGAGTCTACCGATTGAATAGAATTTTATTATAAACAATTGTCTTGTAGATGGAATTTTAAAGCATTCTGAATGTAAAATAAAAAAAAAAGTGTGCAAGACAATAAGAAATACTACCTGCCAAAAAAAAGTGAAGTTTTGTTGAAATCGGTTGAAAAATGTAAGAAATCCGATCCCATATATAAACGAACACACACACACACACACACACACACACACACACACACACACACACACACACACAACCTGGATTTTATAATGAGTATAACTCGATGTGAGTTGTCCCCCTTTCATTCTCGCGATGGCTCTTAATCGTGTTTTCAAATTGATTTCGTACAAAAACAATTGTGTTTTTCCAATTTTGGGCGGTGTCAGAACCACCGCAAGGTAATTATACGTAGTCCTGTGAAGTTTTGTTGAAATCGGTTGAAAAATGTAGGAAATCCGATCCAATATATAAACGTACAGACACACACACAAACAACCTGGGTTTTATAATATGATTATCTATCTATCTATCTATCTATCTATCTATCTATCTATCTCAATCTCTTCCTATCTGGAGATACAAGTAGAACAATTTAAATATCTGGGAAGTGTTTTAATTGAAAGTGCGACAGGGAAATCCGAAGGCCTATTGGAATAGCGAAAGATGTTTTCTTAAAGCTAAGCTATGCAGTAAATTCGTTAGAGAAAATAAAGTCCTGAACTGTAATATCAGTCCTCCTATATCGCAATGAATGCAGGACAATTTCATCACGGATGGAGAAGAAACCTGAAATATCAATAATATAGTCCTACAGGAGGATGCTGAGCATAATATGAGTAAAAATGTGAGCAACACGATTTTAGAGAAAATGGAAACAAAAGATGCATTTCTTTCTTTCTTTCTTTCTTTTATTGTATCTATCTCAGTTTTTTCTATCTATTTATCTATCTATCTATTTCAATCTCTTCGTTCCTGGCTGTCATTTTTCTCTTTCTCATTTCTTTCTCTTTATTTATCTATCTGTCTATATCAATCTCTTCCTATCTGGCTGTCTAGCTTCCCCCTCTCAATCGCACTCTTTTTCTCTATGTATTTATCCCTAATTCTTCCTTCTTTCCTTCCTTCCTCATTTCTTTCTTTCTTTCTTTTATTGTATCTATCTCAGTCTTTTTCTATCTATCTATCTATCTATCTATCTATCTATCTATCTATCTATCTCGATCTCTTCGTGCCTGGCTGTTTTGCTTCCCGGTCTCAATCTCACTATTTTCATTATGTGTTTATCCCTAATTCTTCCTTCTTTCCTTCCTTCCTTCCTCGTTTCTTTCTTTCTTTCTTTCTTTCTTTCTTTCTTTCTTTCTCAGTCTTTTTCTATCTATCTATCTATCTATCTATCTATCTATCTATCTATCTATTTCAATCTCTACCAATCTGGTTGTCTAGTTCTCTCTATCTCTCTCTCTGTGTTTGTTCTTTCCTTCTTTCCTTCCTTCCGTCATTTCTTTCATTTCTTTATTTCTTTCTTTTTATTTCATTCTTTTTCTATCTATCTATCTATCTATCTATCTATCTATCTATCTCAATCTCTTCGTATCTGACTGTCATTCTAACCTTTTCTATTTCTGTATATATTTATATATATATATATATATATATATATATATATATATATATATATATATTTTTCTCTCTATCTATCTACCTATTTATCCATCTATCTCAATCTCTTCTTATCTGGCTGTCTAGCTTTCTCTCTCTCTCTCTCTCTCTCTTTGTCTCTCTTATTCTCTCTCTCTATTTTTTTATCCAAAATTCTTTCTTTCTTTCTTAGCCTTTTCCTATCTATCTATCTATCTATCTATCTATCTATCTATCTATCTATCTATCTATCTTCGTATCTCACTGTCTATTTCTCTCTCTTTCTCTCTCTCTCCCTCCCTCTCTCGCTCTCTCTACATATATATATATATATATATATAACAAATCGGTCGGTTTTCGTTCCCGGCCTGAAGCAAAAGGATGTCTAGACACGTTGATGAACTGTGATACAGCGAAACATTCTGTCTCTGTATCTCTCTCCATATATTGATAGCTAAATTTTTTAAAGAACTTTTCACTCGAAGCATGGCGGGAATGCCACTAGTACGCAGGGGTAACAGAGAATGAATGTGAGAGAAAAGACTGGGGTGGGGGTTGAAGAAAGGATAAAAGATGATCGAGATTCAAGGAGATAGAATATTTACCTACGTTCCGTGAATAAGTCGACTGCATTCGTTTCAGAGGTTTAAACTCCATTCCAAGAAGCCTTTGTCTGTCAAGTTAATGCTTATAACATCAAATATAAACAACCTACATTTAACTATCCTCGAAGTACATGAATATAGACACAAATATACACAACTAATATTTACGTATCCACGAGCCAAGACGATAAGTGACTCAAATATAAACGACTAATATATAATTATCCCCGAACTAATTAAACGCTTCTAGACTCAGACGAAAACAATGTAACAAAGTAAAGAGTGCTGAACTCATATGTAATTACAGTAACCCTATATGGCAGCGAATATTGGACTATTTCTTCACAGATGAATAAGAAACATGAAACCCTAGCCTCACAGAGAGATGCTGAGAATACCATAGCCTGCACTGAAGCAAAGTGGATATTTCAAAGAGAACGGAAATAAAAAAACACTGTAGAGGGAGTATAGGAAAGAAATATTTATTTTCCCTAATACGTTTCTCTCTTTATGGATATTGCTATATTCATGATATAAAACTCCATATTTCACAGACAGAACTAAATTGCTAAATAGTAAAAGAATAACACACATGCTTAGTTCACAGGGTGGTTTATAATGCGACGTCATGTTCACAATTAGATATATACATATATACAAGTGTCCCACGCAAATATATTATAACTGTTATAGAGTAGTTTTCACAGTGGAGGCTTGTATTTCGCTAAATCGGTCCTAAAAGGGTCCGACGTACAAAACGTTAGGAACTTGAAATAAGAGTTAATGACGCAGCAATCTAGTTGTGATGGTTGATACTTCAATGTCCGACATCGACTGACTCACTCAACACCATTGAGCTCAACTGGCCACTGCTACTACTACTTATTATCTGTGGGAGAATCTCTTACCATAGAATAGGTAATGTTCTGCTATAACAATAACACACGTCTCAATAAACAGTGTGTAAGAAAGGAGAATCTTACTTGTTATATTTCCCGAAAGGAAAACTGGGGTTGCGGCTGATTCTCTACGATTTGGACTAGACCGTATGCATTTATATTTAAGACCTACTGCTGTTGCCCAAGGACATACTCCGTCTCTGGTTTCTACATAACTCTCTTGTCAATCTCCCTCTTGCCTTCATTCACCGGCGATCACGTGATCCTCGTGACTATCTCAATGAAAGGGCAATAATCACCATTTGTAAGCAAACAAGACATTTATAATAAAGGCATGAATTTGTCGTATGAATGTTAAGCAACGGCTTCTTTTATTTCTATATATTGTAGCAATTTAGCTTAAGATTCATGTTTTCTTAATTCCAGATGAAATCATAGAAGTTTTTCAGTTTATCTGGATGAATTTTTCAATTTCCAAATATTTATCTATATTATTTAGTTTAGATATTGAAAAAAAAGACGGCAGCAGTTGAAACTGACTCCATTTGTTAAGATCAAAACGTAATATCTGAAATTAGTAGAAGACAATGAGAGTTTCAGATTGACTATATTATTAAGGTTATACTTCCTTTCTTTCTTTTCTTTTTTAAATCATTTCACCACAATCAAGGCAGTAGGAAGGGGGCTACAGAGAGTGAACAAGAGAAAAAATTGTATATAGGGAGGATTGGGGAAAGGATACAAGATGAACCGGCTTCAAGAATTTAGAAGATGGCGACTGACGTTGCATTTACATTTTTGAAGATTGCAGTTGTCAGGGAAGCAAGTAAACCAAAGGGATTTCCACAGACGAGAAGTGTGAAAAAAGAAACTTCTGTCGTTGAAATAGCGGTTACATTTAACTATTTGAACAGTAAAAGGGTGAGATCAAGATGTCAATCTAGTAGTACGCTTAAATTCATATAGTCGGGGCAACTCGAAGCAGTTGTCATGAAAATATTTGTAGAAAGGACAGAGAGAAGCCGACACCGCGTCGGCGAGAAAATCGAAAATAAAGGACCTTTTGTCTTTCTTTCTTTGCTATTTTTACTTTCTTATTCAATCTCTTGTTTTCTTTCTTTCTTTCTTTCTTTCTTTCTTTCTTTCTTTCTTTCTCTCTTTCTTTCTTTCTTTCTTTTATGAATGTCTATGCTTTTCTTTCTTCGTTGTTTTAATTTTCTCACTTTGTTTCTTTTACAATTTTAATTTCTTTCTTCCTTTCTTTCTTCCTTTCTTTCTTAGTTGTTTTAATTTTCCTTTTCCCTCTGTTGATGTTTTCATCTTCTTTCTGTCCATCTTTTTTGTTGATATTTTCAATTTCTTTTTTTATCATTTTCTTTCTCAGCTTTTTGCATTTTTCTTTCTTTATCGTTTTTGCGATTTTCCTTTTCTTTCTTCCTTATTTTCCTTTTCTTTCTTTCTTATTTTCATTTTCTTTCTTTCTTATTTTCCTTTTCTTTCTTTCTTATTTTCATTTTCTTTTTTCTTTGTTGTTTTCATTTTCTTTCTTTATTTCCTTCATTTTTGCCGAGATTTTCAATTTCAATTATCTAGCACGACACAGTGAACCAATTTTCTTAGTGGTTAATCTACCAATTTATTCAATATATATATATATATATATATATATATATATATATATATATATATATATATATATATATATATATCTTAAACAATAAACGCTATCACAACTACAGCTTAAAATAATTTAACTACGTTTAAGGTAGAAATTGTTACAATTACTTCTCAAGCAATAAAAAAACTTAATACAAAACAAAATAATAATACCCTAAAATTTGAATTTACACTAGAACTGTAATGATTGCCATAAAAATACATAGGTGAAACCTAAAGTAATTTCAATAAAACATTAAGTAAAAAGCAAAAGGGATTATTTTCAAAACAACTAATGTATTGTTTGCTAACCATAATGAGCCTACCCATAATTTTTATTTAAAAATGCTATTATAATTAAAAGAGAAACCAATTTATGAAGACAAAAGTGTGTAGAATGCACTTTTTTTGGTTGATCATACACAGCAAATCTGCGTCCAGGTTTTTACAACATTGCACCTTTCTAGGCAGATCTATTATCACAATAGACATAATAACAAAAGTTGATTAACATAAGCAAAAAGAGACAAACAGAAATTGTCTAAACTATATATCAAAACATGTTTTTTAAAAACAATAAAACATTAAAATTTCAGCGTCTCCACTCTTTCCTGTCTCGTCCCATCAACGTAAACATCACTTTAGTCCGATGAAGTCCTAGAGGACACAATGCGTCACACAAAAATCTTTTTGCCATTGATTTTCCTTACATTGATTAAATATATAAAAAACATTGGACGGGTCAGTCAGTCAGTTATGTGATATGCGTGATACACGCTTAGGCGATCATTTATTTGACGAAGCAGTTTTTTTCCGCAGTAGGTTGCCATTTCTTTCTGCAGTAGACCAGTTGCCTTCCAGATCGGGTATGTCTTGCTATTTACCCATAACTGGTGGGAGAGAAGAAGAGGATTCATACCTTTACCCAGGATATTAGCACGTAAGTGAAATTCAAACTCGGCTCTCCGATTCCTCAATCCGAGCCGCTATCCATTACGCCACCGTGCCTCCTCGTATGATTGGTTACGATCTGGTCATAAATCTGCCTGTAATTAATTTTGTAATTTCTTTATTTTCTTTCGACATTGGATTTTCAAAAAAATAATTATTACGGTTTCTTTACGCTTGATTTAATTTGTATCCCATTGTTCTGTTTATATATTTGTACGTTCGTCAGGTTAAAGTCAAACACTGGATACTTAGGAATCCTGGGTATCCCGATAAACTACAACGACGTCCTGGGTATGAGCTTTTTCTTTCTTTCTTGGTAGGCTGAGTAGGCATAGACAATTTCATCTTGTTTGGGATTTGTTGAAGAAAAATTTCAAAGACACAAACTGATTCGGGTGAAAGTTTGTTGAACCAAGGTTGCCCTAAAACCGAGCTTGAGGCACACGTGGGAATGATAGCATTGCCTGTAAGCAAGGGTTAATTTGTCGTAGATTTGGGAAACACTCACGTTACCAGACCCGGAGTAATTGTGTTCAGGAAGCCAGGCATATAAATTGGCGGTCGTGCTAGTTAAAGTCGAAGAGTCTTAAGTCGACATCGAACTGTATATCATTTTACCCCCCCCACACACACACACATATATATATATATATATATATAATAATAAAAAGAAAGAACAACAAGATATATAATCCGGTGTTCTTATAGATATTTTTATTTTTACAAAATAGTACTCAATGTAAATTTACAGAGCATTAATATTATAAATTAATTTATTTAAAATATGTTTTTTTTTCGCTACACAGTTCTAACCATGTTTCAAAAATGGAAGCTAAAAGCCACGAATTTAATTTTGTGATTAAATTAAAGACATTAGTTCCATTTCATCCTCAGTATATATATATATATATATATATATATATATATATATATATATATATATATATATATATACAGCGGGTGTAAAAGCAAAATTGTTTGATTAAGATTCGAATTGTTGTATCTTCGAAATGATTAACAATATCTTACTGGAATTCTTCGACGTTTTTGTAACACTATTGGACTCTACTTTGAGCAATAAGTTTGTATAATTACTCTCCAAGCTTAACAGAAGAATTGTGATGAAATCAATTATTAAGGAAAATGACATGTTCATCATTAATTAGTCATAGCTAAAGATCTGAAATAATGTTCAAACATATATGTATTATTCCAGTATCATTATCCAAATTATTAAAGATCTTCGCCCTCTTTAACCGTCCAACTTTCTGTTCAGGTGCAACAAGGTGCCTCACAGGTTTCATTTTCAAGTTTTCTTGACTGCTCTTTAGACTGTCATAGTTAAACTCCTCTCCCACGTTCCAAATGTCTTTTCTAACTGATCTCTTTGAAATAGTGATTCCCCTTCCTGTTACGATCTGATCTAATTTTCTTCTCTACTGTTTCCCTCTTTTTAAACTTATTCACTTATATATATATATATATATATATATATATATATATATATATATATTAAATCTCTTTATACAAAACAAAAATAATAATAAGCTAAAATTGAACATGAAATTTATCCTTAACCTGTAACGACAGTGCAGATGGTTTAATAATTGCTTCTCGCCTTCGACTTCTCAGTCATCCTGGGTATGATAATAAACTACATCCACGTCCTCGGTATGGCGATAAACTACACCCGGCAGCAGAGCGTCTGATGTTTCTTGAATGGATTTGAAGATGGAAGATGAATGTTTGTACCATTACTGGAAGACTTAATGATTTTTCATCTCACCATTGCTCACTTGAGAAGACAATGGGGCTGACAGGGAACGATTTTAACCTGTTCGCTTTCTAACAGAATAACTCAAAAACGTTTTTCGGTGATTCTTAAGATAAATAGTATCAAGATAAAATTGAACATGAAATTCATCCTTAACCTGTAACGACAGTGCAGATGGTTTAATAGGGAGATCAATATGTCAATCTAGTAGTACGCTTAAATTCATATAGTCGGGGCAACAATGAAATTTTTTATTTTTATGTCCTGTAAAAAAAAAAAAAAACTCAGTTTGCTTCGTGTTTTTTTTTTTAATATTAAACATTTTGTGGGATGGATAATTACGCTGCAACCCAATCTGAACAATTTTGCTGTTACACTCGATATATATATATATATTTATATATATGGGCAGCAAACTTTCTTTTAAACATCTTTCGTTAAATATGACAAACAAGGAAAATTTAATTAATTATTTATTTAATTTTTT